TCCCATGTTTTGTAGAAGAATATGATACTTGATTCATAAGGAGAGACGCTAGGATCAACTGCAGAGGTTTCTTCAATTGATGGAATAGTAGGGGACAGGTCAGGGACTGGCTGAAGAAATCCACTTATAAGCATGTCAGGCCCAATCTGCAACATGTGCACCAAAAGTTGGTGAAGATATAAAACAAGAAAAGAAAAGTGAAGCAGACAACATCAAGGCAAAACAAGCAAACAAATGAGTACTACACCATTTCTGCTTTTTGCAGCTCTTCATATTAGTCTAATTCTTTGCTCTTCTTTCGATAAAAGCATTATCAACATATGAAATCATACCTAGAGAACTAAGCATACTGAAAATGTCATGGGAAAGCAAGCATAGGAAATTCTTCAACCAATAACAGAACAAGCAAACAATAGCAAAACACTATCGTATGAATAGGAAAGGCATTTTAATTCATAATTGTTACCAACAATGGTTGACAGACATTATCACCAGCAGACTTTTCTCCAACCAATACAAATGTTCATTTTAGATTATCGAGGTAATCCAATTATCCAGCCAATTCATCCATAAGGGCCTGACTCATCATATAAACTCATATTAAGAAATTACCAAAGGAAATTTTCCATTATTCATGAAAATAGTTATCAAACAATAAGTTTTCAGGAATTCATTTGCATTCTTAAACATTGTAACATGTAATGCAATTAAAGCAAACTAACCAGCTTATAAGCTGAGAGCAAGAATTGGGCCAGTGGTTATACCATCCTTTCTCTCATAATCCTGACATGGGCCTCCCCAGTATAGTAAAAAAAACCAAAACTTGTATTGGTTTCAGGAGAGACAAAAAGTCAGTCAGGCAAGAAGCAATCTCCCTAAATAAGTATTATCTTCATCTTTCTTAGAATGTTAGGGGTTAGGGGTGGAGTCACAAATCTTATTCAAAGGCACAGACAGCAAATGATTGCACCCAATTCTTTCCCCTATTCATACAGTATATACTATCTCCATAAAAAATTTAGGAAGAATATGCAAAAAGATAAATGATGCTCAACTGATGCTAATATTCCAACATGCTTTCCTGCTAAAAGCTCTTACAACATTCAGGTGTAGCCCATACAAATCCCTTAGCACAGAAAGGATGTACACAAGTTCTAGCATCAAATGCTTTTTGCATTTCGTCATATTTTGATATGACAGGTAGCACATCAGATGAATTCTTTTCTCTAGCTCAAGTTCTTTCCAGGTAAATTGTTCTCTTTATTAGCTCATAAAGAAAAAATGCAGCTTATCTTGGGCTATTAAGATAAAAATCTTCAAGGATCATTTATGAAGACTTAACAACAAATTACAGCATTTGCTTTTTCTAGTCCATGAGTGCATTTTTCCTGATCCTACCCACCTTTAGAGTCAATTCCAACGGAGAATTGCAGTTTTAGTCCCTTAATAGGATCTCGTACGAACTATTTTAGTTGAACTACCACTTGCAAATGAAGATAAAAACACCATTTATTTGTTTCAGGGAACAGTTGCACTCCTTAAATCGAAAGTACCATTCTTTTTTCAAATGTTTTCATGTTCAGACAAAATTGAGAACTTAAAATTAAGGTATGTCTATTCTTTCTAAATTCTGTGCAGTTGAAAAGCATATGACCATTATATTCAAGCTTTGATACATAACATATTCACTTAAAATGGAAAAGAAGAATCCAAATTCTTTCAATCTGACAATGAGGAGAAGAACTTAATTTAGTTAGCGTAGAGTTAACTTTTTCTCTTCTTCACATTTCTCTCCTTATTATAACTTTTCATGCATTTCCTGGTGATATGAAAACAAAATAGCACAAGTTCACGGGACATTATCAGCAATATTGCAAAACAAGAAGTTCACCTAAAAGTGTCGCATTCTACTCATGTAACTGCCTATGCCCATTTTTCACTAAAACCGATAAAAGTCAGAAAAATTACAGGTCATGATATCCACTAGATCAGAAGGATACCATAACCAATTCAATGAAAAGTTTGTACAGCAAAATATAATATGGACACAGCAATCACAACTACAAAAAAAAAATATTTTAACCTGCTCATAGCTAACATCAATCAGCTCCATAGCCTGTGACATCTCAACCATCCCCAGTTCGCCGACAGGAGAAGGGGCATTCCTTCCTCCAATGATTTTCGGAGCAACAAATGCATGTACCTGCATTTACATAGCTAAATTTAGTGACCATCAATGGACAACTTTTCAAAATGTCTGTTAGTTAAAGTTTGTTTTACATGATCCTATACCAACCAGGAAGCAAAAGATGGATGAAATAGGCTATTGAAGATATTCACATCCTTTAATGAAATATTTTCATCTTAAGTGAATTATGGAGCATGTGGCACTAGGTGTATCAATCTACTCTAATGGTATTAACAACAGAAAATTGGGCATACTTTGTGTATGACACCAGATGTAATGGCAGATGCAGCCAATGTGCCTCCACATTCCCAAAGGATTGAGAGATAACCACGGTCATAGAAGTACTCCATAACATCTTTTGGGTTTAAAATGTCAAACTCCACCACTTCAACATCTTTGGAAGCAAGATATTTTTGGAAACTCTTTCGTGCACCTCTTTGTGTTGCAACTATAGTGGGTACCTCAGCAACATCCCAAAGATTTGCTACCTCAGGAAGATTAAGAGTTCTTGACATTACAATTCGTCTAGGCAAATGGCCACCTCCATGTCTTGCAGTTAAACGTGGATCTGAGTTGCCAAATTGAATTATGATAGCATTAGGATACTAATCATCTCCAACAGGGAAAGAAATGGCTAACAAAGGTTCGTACTATCTCTGCGTACAGTGTTTCCTCCAACAATTACAGCATCACTCCTGCCCCGCAATTGAAAAACTAGAGTTCTTGACTTTTTGCTGCTTATCCATGATGCATGCCCGCTACTTGCAGCAATTTTTCCTGTCCTCATACATAGGCCAATTAAATTTGTAAGGACCACATATGGACGTTCAATCACAAGTACTAAACGAAATTAAGGCAAAGCACCAAACAATCTGATAACAATTGCATTTTCTCACCATCAAGGGTCATTGCATACTTGAGAACAGAGAATGGAACTCGATTAGCAGCTCTATAAAGCAAAGGAGCATTAACTAGGAGACAGGATTTCAAAGCCTCCTGCAGCACACCGTGCACAGTGTCAATAACACCAGATGCAACGTAATTCTACTGCATTGTGTATTAGGAAGGACCTTTTTCTAGAAGATGGGAGGGTTGGCAACTAAACTTAGAATGCATATAGAGAAAGACAACCATACTATTTCCTCTGTTTAGCTAAGAAAGCATATACATGTCAATAGTACCACTATCATTGGTAAATGGTCATACTAGCATCCTCAAATTGCCAAGCTCATATTAATTCTTAACCATGCCATAATAAATCATGTATGCCGAAAAATTCTCATTCGTTGCATGTTTTTAAAGCAGTAATCATATAGTGCAATGGTACCTCAATAGTTTTACTTTGTATATCTTCCCCAAGAACATCAACCTTCAGTCCTTCACTTCTCAAGGCTCGAATAGCATTCCCCCGAAGATGTGGCAAAGGATGCCTAATTCCAATTACAACTCTACTAATTCCTGCCTAATCCACACACATTACTCGCATTAGAAAAATCTTCACTCCAATAGAAAATTTGAGAATACAAGACTCCAATTACAAAACTAACTATGAGCACAATTTAATTAAGCTCACTTGAAAAGCCAATGTCGAGCAGATACTGACGTACACATACATCATCAATTTCTAACCGGTAAAAAATATATATAAACAGGAGAGAGAGAGAGAGAGAGTGCATACGTTGACAAGAGCAGAGACGGCGGTGCGATCACTGTAGCAATCGCCGGGCTCCATATTGAGATAAGCTGTGGCGCCTCTGGACAGTTCACCGGCGGACTCGACGGCCTGGAGCTCAGCCGGAGAGGTACCCTCAGCGTAAAGATAACCTTCCCCAACCACGACTCCTGGTCGTCCTTCTTTTCCAGAGCCATTGGCGGTGGTGGCAACGACGCAGCCCAAGTTGGGATGGGGAGCGGTGAAGCCGGCGGACTTATCGGCTAGCTCCGCGGCGCGTTTGATATACGCAGCATCAAAAGCGTGGGATGAGGATGAGTTATTGGATGAGCAAGCAATGGCAGTTCTATCGATAAGAGGAGGAATAGGAAGTCCTCCAAACGAAAATGATAGCGCCATTTCACACAGGAAGGTTGAAGAAGATGCAATGAGAAAAAAACTATGTCCAAATTGGGACGATTTTTCTAATTGAATTTTAGGCGTCTTTGAAATTCCAACTCTCTTTTTAACTGAGCAGATATAAAGTAATGTATAAACCGTGGAAATAAATAACTCGTAAATTAAAACAAAACCAAAAAAGAGTTCATTGCATTTATTTCAGGGGTTTGGCCAATAATTGCTGTGGCAGAGCTAAAGAGTTTGAGGATAAAAGTGGATAAAATAAATGTTATTGGAATAAATTAAAATGTCACTAGTTGGGCCATGGGTGTAAACACTGACCCGCTTGCTTAGATGTTTTGTTTTTAGCCCGTGAGTGATGATGAACTCAAGTACGATGCTACTCGAGCCCAGCAGCACTTCTAGTTTGGCCGAAAGATGTAGGCAAGTCATTACTACTAGCAAGTAGCAGCATACTACTAGTGCTAGTGCTAGTGCTCAACGTTGTAGGCTTGTAGCGGAGCTGTCATATGCTGCAGTTCTCATCCATCTGCTTCTAGCGATTCTTACTATTGTTCTTCTTGTTTGTATAGCATAATAGCAAAATAAAGGTGTACATTTAAAACAAATCATCCTTCTTTCTTTATAGTGGTGTAGCTTCCCATGTATTTAACAATTAAACGTATGGATTGAGATCACAGAATCGAATGATGTTTATGAGTGCTGCTTACTCTACTGCAAGATTTTGGCTTTTTTCCAACTAAGAAGGCCAAAAGGCTTGTGGCTTGGAATTTGATGCGTTCATGCAATTACACCACTACGACACATAGGGATCAAAGTGACGACGCTAATCCACCAGTACAAACATGAACATCATCGAAAACCCAAAAATGCTACTGGCAATATACATCAAACTAAATGACAGAATGCAGGCCAAACGAGAAGGAAATGAGAACGGGAATGAAGCAGAAGCAGTACGTGAGTGATTTACAGCGAGATGACACCACCACCGCCACCCCCGGACATATCAGACCAGACGTCGATGATATCCCCATCCTCAAGGCCTATCCCCTCTGGTGTGTCCCATTCCTGAACCCTTCTCCCCTCGAAACTGAACCTTAGAGCAGCGGCCTCCAGCCGGAGATGATCGCAATAAACAAGCATCATCCGACCTAGACGAACATCCCGTTTGATTTTCATAACAATGTCATTTGCGTGCTCCTTCTGCACCCTAATTGTTACATGGCGACGTCGGTGTTTCTCCTCCTCCTCCTCCTCCTCCTTGGCTTCTGTGTCCTGTGTGACGCTTCCTTGTGCTAGCTTTTCATCCTGCATTTTCATCGCCACCCACCACTACCGACTAATTATGGGTGGATTTGGGTGTGGGGATTCTTCTGCTATATTTCCTTCTAGCGCTAAACTGATGCTAAGAAGACTTGTGGTCTTAGTTATGATGGTATATGATGAAGGGGTAAGGACTTAAGGACCGGAAGGTCTGTTCACATATCCCAATGCTTGATTTCCAGGACTCCATTAATGCCATCCATCTATTAATGGTTCAACTGACTTTTCGATATGACAGTGGATAGGATAGTGCACCTCAATTCTTGGCATTGGACTGGACAGTTCTTTTTTCTTCAATGGGGAATTGTGCACGCATGACTGTAGAAATTCAGAGCAGCACGGCAAACCAAATCCGAGTGAATCTCAGTGCTGTAGTTTTGAGGGGATCATGGCCTGACCAAAACAGTACATGCACGGACCTAAGGACGCGCACCATTGTCACCGTCGTGGTTTATTTGTTGTTCTTCAAAATGTGTCAACAAAGAACAAAATCTGAAACATAAAGCCCAAGCTTACTCCACGAAATTCTACTATTACAGTAAATATGTGCAAACTATTTGTCGTGGATTGTGATCGTGTTCACGACATAATTGTGCTATGGATGCCCAATACAATCTTGTTACTCTTACAATTATTGACTCAACCTCTATTGGGTTTAGAAGATCCATTCCATTCCCCTGAAAGTCAAAATCGACTTGTACATTCTTTCGTAAAACTTTGAAAACGTGCCAAAGGAATCCCTTAAAAGTCGTTCTTCCGAAATCCTGCATTTTTTGGTGACATAATGACAGGTATTATAATTGCTTATGAATATCCTGACGACGGTTACCCAACATTTTGCGATTCAAGACCTAAACATTCTCTAGCCACAGGAACACCATGAACTATCTTATTGGGCTCTTAAAAGAAATTAGCACAACAAACATGAGAGCAGATGAAATGATAATAGCACAATCCAAAATCTTAAAACTTCTTATTAAGATTTTATCTCGAAACAACTCTTCTCCCTAAGAAAACGAGCTGCAAAATATAGCAAGAATCTAGTCGAAAAGCAAAATTTATTGGGACACAGATCAATTACCAGGATATAATAATTAAGTTAATTAAAAAAAAGAAAAGAAAAAGCAAACTTGCATAAGATTGTCTGAAGGTATAAAGCAAGAGAGTATTATTTGTTAACAATCAGGAAAACAAGAATATAAATGACATAGGGACGTTCAATATCCTTTATAGAAATAGTAAGCCACGAGTCAACATTCGAGACAACAGTGAGTTCTCAGGGCCAGGTTCAATTCCATCACCGGAGTTTTATTCCTCTTCATTGCCCAACTCAACAGCTGAACTGTCTCCAGAAACTCACTCCTCTTCTTCCGCCTCCTCCAGCCATTTCACAAATGGCTCCAATGCCTTGACAAAGGTTTGCCTGCATTCAAGAGTAAATATTAGCTCCAACAACTTTGACCTGAAAAATCAAATGATCAAAAGTAGTGATCTGACAAATATTCCTTAGTCTACCCCAGCATTCGGTAAGCAGAACTTTGTTCAGCTCCCAAAGTGAAAATGCAGAAGTTACTAGTTAGATCATGCATCCAAAGTGTTCATAGATAAGTTAATGGACAGTTTCTAAGAAAGACTAAACTATACGTTTCGCAACTCTATGTTATTATGATTTTCCAAAAACAATGAAAAAATCAAAGCTCATTAAGAAAAGATAGGAACCAGTTAGTAACAAGGATGTCAGGTAAATTGTTTAATCCCAGAAGATGATAAGGATGTCAGATTAATTTTTTTTATCCCTGATTCTCCAAATCACAGAAAAATCAAAGCTCATTCAGAAAAGATAGAAACCAGACTATAAGGAGGTCAGCCAAATTGTTCAATCCCAGAAGATGAATAATAAACTGGATAGGCTGCAAGAGCTGATACTTTCCCTTTGGGACACCGCTACCACCACACTACACCCGCCAAAAGAATAATAACAATATGCTAAAACAACAAACCTTTTCAGATTGCTTGTTAAATATTTATGCTCAATCACTTCTAAAGCTCATCACAGTTTCAGGCACATTTTGCAGTACATCAAATATGTCAAATAGTGCCTCTGTCTAACTATAGCATGTTTACAAGTAAATATATTTGTACCACCTTTGGAAAGCAAGAGGTAACTACACCCTATGAGCAGTAAGCTGGGAAGATAAAACAAATTAAGGCAGCTAGGTGAGGGTTCAAAGGCAGACGGTAACTGATTTCCATACTAATAATGAAGCGGAAATTACAGTTCTGAAGAGGTTTCCATCTAGAATGTGCATCTCTAGGGGAGAAAAGAAAAAGAAGATAATCAAAGTGTAAAATGACAAATATTAAGCTCTTTGATGGACTAAAGGTGACATTCTCCTGGAGGATTCTAGAAAATAGAAAAATAACAGGAGAAATTTACATGATATCTGCCTAAAAACAGTATCAAATGCCAATTAAATATAATACCTGCCCTTAGGATTGGTTCCCTTTCGGCACCAGTGAAGAATGGTATCTTCAGCTAGAACATCCTCGTCATAAAGGGACTTCACAATTTCAGGGAATAGTTTCATCAGTTTTGTATCCTCATAGCACTGGACTTGGATTTTGTATATAAGTTCCAGCTCCAGCTTTCCACTAGTGCAGAAGGTATTCAATAACTTTGCCCATGTTTTGACCTAAACATAGAAAAACATTCAAAAAATATATTCAGTAACTATTATGTAAACATTTCAGCCAGTGCAAACAGTAGCGAAGCTTTTCCTTCTCTTTAAAACATGAAGAGCAGGCTAAATCAGGAACAGAATCACCATGCAAAACTCCATAAGTCAAAATAGTTCAAAACTCTATCTGTGATTTAGCAAGTTGTAGCTAAATACATACAATGCTTATGCAGGGTCCCCATACATAAATCAAACGTCATACCTGACGAAGAGCTGAATTTGCATTCTGCTGTTGGTTCTTGCCTGACCACTGAACAGCATCCATCAGAACATCCCACAGAATCCGAACAACCTCAATGTCAGGAAATTTAGCATCTTTTACATGCTGCTTCACTGTTTCTATGACTTCAGATATGCCTGCTTCTTCTGCTATCTGGCTTGTTAGAGCAGATTTCATTTCCTTCAGCTTCACCTCAAATATCTTCTTGTCATTGTACTCAACCAACGGCAGAAGCCCCTCTTTGCTGAAACATTCATTTAATTCAGTACAGTTGACTAAACTCTGGAAACAGACGATAATAAAGAATTACAATGTTTAGGACTTACTATCAACTAAATAAGACCTAGAGACAAATTGAGTTTCAGATCACCACCAATGAATAAAACAATAGAAATATAACTACTATTAGCAACATGTACATAGAACCAGACAATATAATGATTGAAAATTGCCCCTTAATGCATATACATGCACATTCAAGTAAAATTGATGCATACTGTTGAGAATTGAGAGACGTGTTTATTAAGTGACTGATTTTCCAAGTAGATGAGAAAAAGGGAGGGAACTAGGCAACAGGCATTAAGAAAAGAGAATCAACATTATATCATAAAACCAAAAAAAAATGTGTGTGTGTGTGTGAGAGAGAGAGAGAGAGGGCACATTTAGGAAGGGGAAAGAGTAAAAACCAAAGCAGGCCTACGCTTTTTGCCTGCTTAAACATCATCATTCTTACATATGGGTTCTTGTATTATTTTTGGAACTTTGAAGATAAGCAATATAATCCTATTCAACTGGCCAAAGCTAACCAACAAAAAATAAAAATAAAAAATCTACCTAAGTCTTTCCTCCATTTCTTTGGAGAGAAGAAAAATAGCATGTTTGATGTGGATTGCGTATTACTACTAATTTACTTTCTTTTCTGGCTTGGCTAAATTCCAAACTATCTTGCTTATAAACTTTTCAATGCCCTCATTTCATTCCTCTCAGACCAGTCAACAAATTAATTAGAAAGGAGGCCCAACTTAAAGCATAGGAAAGTTCAAAGCAAAAAGTGACAAAACTTAATATATGGAAAGAAATGAAACATGACAGAGTTCAAGAAGCACAGATGGCAGTGACAACAATAAAGATATTACTTGAAACTAAAGACCAAAATCCTCTTCAAAGAAGAAAAGAGAGAAGAAATTGACATCAACATATATACACACACACACATATCATGGTCATCACAAATACATACTGCTCTCATCTTAAATAGTGATGGTAAGAAGAGTTGATGGCGTCTCTCAATTTCTCTATACTTCCCCTGTATACTGAAGGATATAATAAAAAAAAAACACTAAGACAGCTTTTGCTATCTGTCAGTTACTTCTTTCAGAAACTTCTGTCTTCCCAAGAATAATGTACTAAGTAAGAACTTTTTTCTACATTAGTAAACCATACACAAACACTAAAAAGTAAAACAAGCAGCTTAAACCTTTCTCAGAAAATCTACGGAGTAACTCTTCATGTGTTCATAGGACACAGTACAAACATGGCATTTGCTTAAGGCCAAATATTTTCTTGACGTTATCAAGTTACTCGAAAAGAGTATATCCAATGGTAAGAAAAGACGGTTTATCTTCATGACTTAACACAATGGCACTTGCATATCCAATAACAGCTAGGTCATATAAAAAGGATGGTAGAATCATACGATTCAAATTCCATAATACTGTAAACATGAAACCGCTCTGTAAGCAATCTCAAAATAGAACGAACAAAAAGACAAAAGCCAAATCAATTCAAATCTTTTCTATCACGAATTTTTACAGGAGCACCTAAAATATTTAAATTTGATCTTACAAAAGCAAAAAGGAAAACTGAACTGCCACTGAAGGCCATTCCAAATTTAAAAAGGGAAAGAGAAAACTTACGTGAAATGCTCTGAGAAAGCTTCAGGAGTTCTCTTTGCAGGGGGGAAGAACTCAAGAAGATTTTCCTCCATCTTACCCCGCTTCAAGATTGAAATTAAATCATCAAGGCTGTTATCAATCAGATATTCCTTAAAGAAGTCTGTGATAAATGACAGAACTAGCCCTTTGCCAACAAGGTTATCCTTAAGTAGGGGTTGGAACACAGTCTCAGGTGGGAGACCTGACAACTTCTGTGAAAAAGCAAGAGCAGTGAAAATAGCAAGCTTCTTCCTTTCATTTTCCTCGAAAAGCTCCAACGATTGCAAAAATCTTCGCATAACATTTTCAAGGTTTTTTATAAGGAAAGGTTTCCTTCGCAATATCTTCTGTATGTATACTACAGATGGTAAAATGACATCACGCTTAGCCTCACACTCAATTATAGAGTAAGGATGGCGGTCCCCCTCATCAGGTTTAGTCGTTCCAGGTTGTGTACGGCCCCCTGTGAAGACGACCTGAAAATTTACAAGGAGTAAGATCAAAGAGCACAGCAGCCTCAAAGTCCTCAGACAATATAACATGGTAAGTAATCCTCATCAGGTGCCATTGGAAGATTTGTTTTTACCAACCCTCTTTCCATTCCAGCACTACTTCCCAAAGAGAAATGGAGAAAGAAGTAACCCAAGAGAGAAAAAGAAGAGCTTGCCTATGTAAACCCCCGCAAGTACTTTAATATCCACACACTTCGAACTACCAAAGAATAAGATCTTCAGACAACCTTTTTACTGCTCAAGTTAAAAGGAACCAACCAGAAAAGCACTTAAAAAAAAGGTCTTCACATACTCATACAGAACCACTATCAAAATTTAGGATGCCCCAAAATTTGTGCTAGGTGAACATATCTAGCAACTGGATGCATCCATTGGCATTAAATAGGCAATCCACAAAAAGGATGGCCAACTACACTTGTGGAGCATATACTTGACATCTCAGAGTCTGAAAACA